TGCCCTTTGCCTCCTACCTCTTTCCTCTATTTCCTTTGACTTTCCTCTTGTCCTTAATCTTCATTTGGGTTTCAGTAATTCCTCTTGGCTACATTACCCGTGATCACGCCCTACTAGGCCTCCTACTCCCTCCTTATGTGGGGCAGATGTTTTAAAAGTCAGATGCCATCAAGAAACAGGAGTGCTTTCAAGTTCGTGATGGGGACCCACAAGGTCTCCTGACGTGAGGCAAAGCGACAGCAGGATGGTTACTCAGACTTTCAGACGAGAAGGAAGGGCTTCTTACCAGGAGTCTGGTGGCCCTGGTTTAGTCCTGCCTGCCGACAGACAGCCCCAAACCCACTGCCCAGCTCTCGCTCATGCCAATTCACCGCACCCCTTTAGGGCAGAGTAGGCTGCTCACGAGCATTTCAGAGGCTGTGAATCTTCACGTCTTTCTCCCACAGGGTGGCTGATAGGTTCCAACTGCTTGCTGACTAATTCTCAAACAAATAAACAAACACCTGTCACAGACCCATTCCCGACTCCCAGTGATCCCACAGGACAGACTAGAACTGCCCCTGTGGGTTTCCAAGGCTCTAACTCTTCACAGGAGGAGAACATCTCATCTTTCTCCCACAGAGCAGCTGGTGGTTTCGAACTGCTGACCTGGTGGTTAGCACCCGGAGGAACTGAAGCAAAATCCTGTGTTAATTAGAGCAGACATTCAAAATTCTTAGCACCCACCATTTCCTCATCCTGTGGCCCTAGGAAAACTGCTCAGCCTCCCAAGTCGCAAATGTTTCAATTAGGTTTGTAAGGAGAACAGCAGTGTCTCCCTCAGGGCTGTTGGACGAGCCGCTGTGTGTATACTGACACATGGGAAACTCAAAACCACACACCTGCCGTCGAGTCCAGCAACTCTGCAGCTCAGGGTAGAAGTGCCCCTGTGGGTTTGATACCGTGACTCTACAGAAGTAGACAGCTTTATCTCTAGCCTGTGGAGCAGCTGGTGGTTTCGAACTGCTGACCTTGCAGTTAGCAGCTCAACATGTAATCACTACACCCCCAGGGCTCCTGCCATATAGTAAGTGCTCAAGAAGTGGGAGCTCTTGTTATTATGCAGCTACCTATCCGTCCACAGGCCATAAAACAAGGTCCATTCGTGTGTCTTTAAGTTGGGTCAAATGAATACAGTTCTTACATAGCCTTATTTTAGTGCAAGAAAAGACTTAGAACGTTTCCAATGATTTCAAGGCTGCACATGCAGCCAGTGGAGGTGATTCTGATAACGATTTGCTGTGAGAAAGGGTTGGTTTAATTGTCTCAAAGAGCGAGGAAATTGACATCACATTAAAGGGTACGTTGGAATTGTCTGTAAATTGGGTGTTCATAGCTCGGGGGCAGCCTGTGCTCATCTGCCCACTCACTCCTCCACTCCTTACCCACCTGCTCCTCTCCTTTCCATCGCACCATCCCCTGCACGCACTGCCGTCAGCGTCTCATTTCCCCCCAACCCCCCTGCCGTACCCCAAGAAACCATTAACCCAATTCCGGTGTCTATAGATTTGGCCAGCCTGGATTTCATCAGCCATGGGACTGTCGGTTGCATCATAGGCATGTGGAGGTTGGACCGTGAACCAGGAAGACTGCCAGAGATGGGATCCATTTGAATTCTGGCATTGGTGAAGAATATTGAAAATCCTGTGGGCTGCTGGAAAACCAGGCAAATCTGTCCAACAAAACCAAGCTGGACCACGAATAAGTCAGACTGCAGAACAGGTGCGGTGAATTGTGACGTTGGTGAAGATATTGAATGTACCCCGGGCAAACGACCAAATCCACAGACATGACGGCGAGACTTCTTCTCACGTACTATGGACATGATTCGGGAGAGGCCAGCCCCGGGGGGACCTCATGTTTGGCAAAGTAGAGGGACAGTGTGAAAGAGGAAGACCGTCAGTGAGCTGGGCAGACAGTGGCAAGTCACAATGGGCTCAAGTGTAGGGCCGACTGGCAATCATTTAATTGTCATAGGTACGGTTGCGGTTGCGACGAATTGGAATGCATTCAATGGCATGTCACAACAGCGATACGGGAGCCTCTCAGCAGGGCTCTTTTCCTGTGGGGACGCTGGCAGGTTCAAACCACTGGCTTTGGTAGAGTGCTTCACCAGGGCTCCTTAAGGGAAAGGTAGGTCTTATTATCATCATCATCATCATCATCATCATGTTAGTAATTAAGGACTCTCGACAGTCAGCCGTGAGTGAGTGGAACCCCTGTCCCATTCAGCAACGCTATCTGGCTGTCCTTAGTGAGACTGGTAGGTTTCAGAGAAGGCCATCGGGCCCGAATTCTTGGGAAACTAATGCGGAAAAGAAGAGATGCTTAAAAGATGCTTAAGAGAATATGCTGAAAAGAATCATGGGGGATTGGAAGGAGACAAAGACGGAACAATCAGAGAGACAGAACCGGTAGTTTCCTGCTCTGGAAGTCATGAAAGACCTTAGAGCAAGGGAGCAAGGGAGTAAACCAAAGAATCCCTAGGAGTTTTGCATCGAGCTCATCGTTCTCCAGGAGAGCAGGGAGGGCCCTAGGGGAAGAGGCCAGACTGCAGAGGAGCGAACAGGAGAGAAGAAAGGGAAACCATGATCACATTGACAGCATTCGACTCTAACTCACTGCCATCGAGTCGATCCCGACTCAGAGTGACCCTATAGGATAGGGTAGAACTGCCCTCGTGGGTTTCTGAGACTATGAATCTTTACAGCGGAGCCTCATCTTTCTCCCATGGCGCAAAGGGTAGTTTAGAACTGCTGACCTTGCAGTTAGCAGTCCATCTCTTGAAGCCCATTATGCTACCAGGGTTCAAGATGGGAGTCTTAAAAAGGGGAAGGAGCACAGGAAGTGCTGTGCATTTCAGAATGTCAGAGATGCTGGTGGACAGCTCAGGCTGTGCATCTTGAACTTGAGGTCCACTAGGGGGCAGACACCTGATCATTTTGATAAGATCAGTGCACACTGAAAATTGGAGAAACAAACACATGCAAACGCCTTCAAACAGCTCTCAAAGTCTTAAAACTGCCATTGCCAGGTGTCACCTGCTTGATTAAAATGGTTCACTCCTCAATTCTTTCAGGAATAAATCAGCAATGTTCTGGGGCTCTCCGTATAGGCTCAAGTTTAGGGTGCTTACGGGCGCTGCAGAGGAAAATAAATTAATAGGCATCTTACTTGGACTTTAAGGTGTCTCTGATCTATGACACCAAATATTCACCAAGTGCAAAAGCCAACCAGGAGCCGTCTGGCCCAGACTGCAAATGCCTGCCAGACGCTGCTCCACAGCAATGTCCAGGTACATCCTGCTCAGGAGAGTCCACACGCCTTGACCGTCGGTCCCCTGACAAGGATGCTCAACTCAAACTCCCGGCCAGCAAGCCAACTCTCACCCAAGGCGACCCTGCATGACAGAGGGGAACTGCCCGGTGGGTTTCTGAGACTGTCACTCTCTGACGTAGTAGAAGCCCTCATCTGTCTACCAAGAGGCGGCTGTTGGGTTTGAACTTTGACCTTTTGGTTAATAGTAGCCCGACACGTAACCCACTCTCGCACCAGGGCGCCTTGAAGACGACGAGGCTCTCTCAATTTAAATCTCAGAAAGTCTCCGGCTGCAGATGGGCGGAGGGCCAAAGTATTAGCAGCCAGACCAGAACCCAGGACTGGGCTCTGCTCGGACAGGGTGGAAGGTTCACGCACTTGAGATTCGCCTGTGGCTGGTCTTCTGCTTTTTTATTTCTTCTTCCTCCTCTTCTCTCTCTAAGCCTCATGGTAGCTAGCTTCTTCAAGCTGTTTTCTTTTCCCCCTAGAAGCAGAATGGTCTAATATGGGTACAGAGGAACTGCTCAGCATAAACCTTATCTTTCCATTCCTTTCCCTTTGGATTATTTTTCACAGAGGGCTTTTGAATCAAGCAAGTATAATGCCATGAACAACTGAGGATCCAACAAGTGGGGGCTTTCAGACGTCCTGGATTTCAGCAATGTAATCTACTCCTGTAGGACAGAGGGGAACTGTCCCAGCCGGCTCCCCAGGCTGCGGTCTCTGTGGTAATGGCGGCGGCTTGGAATTGCCTAATTTCTGGTTGACAGCTGAGTGCTTAAACACTGTGCTACCAGGGCTCCTTAATGTTGTTTACTCTTTCCTAATTTTTAAAATGTGTAACACTAAGATAACTGTTATCAAGCCAGAGTTTTTACAGTAATTTTCAATCAGGGGAAAAAGGAAATGAAGAAAACCTATGAAAATAAAACTTTAGACCAAGACACAATTCTGAAGCTTATTACATTTATTAAAGGTGTTCATTTTATAAAATTATTAAGATGCATGATTCTCATAGCAAATGTACTTTTCACCATTCATTTAAAGACAGTATAACAAAATCCGTAAACAGTATAAATATATATAGATACACACACACAAAATTCACAAAGACTCTCAAAAGTTTTTGACCAGCAAAGCCATGAGTTTAATAAGGAGAAAACAGGTTTCAATATGCTGAACTTTAAGGCAAAAACTACCACACTGATACTTTGGGAAGTTCTTGGAAGAAGGCCAACCCTCAGAAAACATCATTATCTACATCTGCATTTCATAAAACCTGATAGCAAAGGTGCCGCTCAGCAGAGCACTGATGATTGAGAAAGAGAGAGTTTCGGAAGGAACACAAGTTCAAATGCCAAAAATAAGAGGGGGAAAACTCCACGAGAGCAAACGCGCTGATCTGCTCCGTGTTCACGCACCTAAAAGCACCGCGTAGTTCCCGCAGCTCTGTCCTGACCCTCATGAGCACTATCTGCTGACACCGTCTCTGCTTCCGGAAGAAACCACCCAACTCAGCCACAGAACAGCGGCCAGACTGCACATGCAAACGGCATCTACGGTGACTGAGGAGAAGGGGCAGTGCCACCAAGCAGGACCACTGCAGGACTCTGTCAAATCATTGCCTAATGGGAAAGCCCCCCAAACATCATCATATTATCTTTACTACTTGATTGTAGATAGGGATCATTTTAAAAAGTCTTACTTTCTTAAAAATTATTAAACTGTGAAATACAATAAAGATCTTGAATATCAAGTTTATCTTTCAAATGCTTCCATGACGACATTAACAGAGCACGCATTATCAAAGTCTAGCCTCGAGGCTCCTGAGTGTACTCGCAGGTGTGGTACAGGCAGTATTCAATTGGTTTAAAATGACAGTCACAGGCCCTTCATTGTGGAACGTGGAGTAGCGTGACTACTAGGCCGACCAGCAATCACATGTTGGTAGCCACGTGTCATCCGGAAAGAAACACAAAGCCACGCCCTTAGAGACACTCTCCAAAAAGACAACCAGGCGACCATTTAAGAAAAGCTTTCAATTCAGCAATGCGAGCAAGGCTGCCTCCGTTAAACTTGTATTGCGATCCCACCATCGGTCTCATCGAGTGAGCTGCAGAGAAGACCGGGCACAGAAGAAACGATGGATCAGGTTTCTACTCAGGGGACAGTCACTTAACTATTTACAAACCGCTAATAAAGCAATCAGCGCTAACACGTCAACACTGAGGATGAGCATGTGCGATTCCAGGTGATGAAAGCGAGCCGATGGCCCTTCCCTGGGTTCTCAGAGTCCTGGTCTCCGCTGTCGCCAGAGTTGCACTTGCGTGACCCTTCCTTCTGAAGTCACCCGCTGAGGGACATGGGTGTGCGCACGGGCATTTTCACATCAGGAGTCCACACACTGACAGGGCCGATGCCCCGTGTTTGGCCACCGAAACATACTGCCTTCCTGGAAAGACTGGCACTGCTTTCTGGTTTCCTATACGCTCCTGCCTCTCCCGTGTTCTTTCTTTCCCACAGTTGGCCCTTCAGCGCCTGCTCACCGGTGTTCACACCCACTGACTCCTCCTAGACGTGTGCTCCTCCGAGGCCGGGGCTGGGGACGAGCCGGGGAGCTCACAGAGCCGCTTTGGAGCACCTGTGTGCCTAGGTTTAGACTGCTGATGTTCTCTGGCATTTTGATGGCAAGTTTTCCAGGGTTTCGACAACGCCGGTCTTTCTTCTGATTCAAAACATAACAGAAGTGACTTGGCGAGAGATGCTAGCTCCCTGTTGGCTGAAGTGGGGGGCATGCTGAAGTAATCCTGAAACTTGTCGGTCAAGTTGCAAATACTTTCAACACAATTCTTGAGAAGATGACCATCCCTGTGGGAACCTATGCAAGATGGGGAGGAGAGAGTTAATTCACCCTTTCCGTTTTTACCAGGTGCTTCTCACTATAAAATCATCCCAGCTCCCTTTTAAGTCTAAGTGATCGTATCAGGACAATCACAGACAACTGAAGACTGTTCCGTGAAAGTGCCTGTCTGCTAGGTCAGTAAGTGGTTGCTCCAGATCTGTTTGGGCAGACTTACAGAATCCACATGGAATTCGGCTATCCCTGCTCCTCTCCTACGACTGTCTCATGACCCGACATTCCGTGTGGACATATGGACAGTAAAAACTCTCCTCCCTGACTAGTTTGAAAATGCACGGCGTATGCTTGGCAGTAGCATACAGTGAGGAGCGAGGCACGCGCAGCACTGCTGTGATGGTTAGGGTTAGCTCCGCCAGGCTTTCCAGAGGTTTGGCGGTTATGTAATAATGTCACTGGACAGTTACATGACGATTCTGACTTCCTGTGCCCAACCTCCAGTTTTTATACGACAAATGATTATGTAACATAACCCACAGTTAGGTTTGGAGCCTAATTACATCAGTGAGGAATAGGAGTATTCCACTCCCTCTCCTGGGAATTAACATCAATGCCAGGGCAACAGCTGGGCTTTAATGAATGACTTTGACCAAAAGTGAAGAAGAAGAGTACCCAGAGTCCTTAAAATATAAACTATGACTGACTGCTGATCCACTGCAAGTCTGTACCTCTCAGTGCAGAAATAGTTAACTGAACAGTTTGCTGGGAGCACCGTTGTAACTTCAAGAATTCTGAAGCAAACGTAGCCAGCTGCGTCCACTCCTGGCACCCGTGGTTCTTTTCTCGTGCTTGAGCGCTGGGGTCTTTCTGCGTGTACACAAGGTTCAGTGTGATTTAACTTGCACGCGGGCCACATGGCACGAAGACTAGTTAATGTGACTAAAGAGGCTGGGACCGTTCCTTTAGGAGAACAGGCTTAAACTTGCTCACCAGTGCTTCGCTTCAGTTCTATAAGCAATACCCAAACACACCGCCATCAGTTTCCCCAAAGAAATTCAAAATTGCAACTAGTTTGGCCTCCAAGCGCTACCTGTCACCCTGTGACATGAGAATGAAGCAACCCTGCGACAGACACAATCATAAAGGATCAGACGTACTTGATCTTAAGGATTCGTCTTCATAATGGCCTTCATTTGTCTAAATAAAAAATTAGACTCATGGGAATTAGTCTCCTCTTTAACACACTGACCATCTACACTACGATGGCGTAGTGCTTAAGTGCTCAGCTGGAAAACAGCAAGTCAACGTCAGTGGTTCGAGGGCACCAGCCACTGGAGGAGAGATGTGATCATCTGTTTCTGACTATACTTTGGAAAGCCAGTTGGGCCGTCCCTCTTCTGCCTGACAGGCTCTATAGGGGTCAGGGTGGGCTCCACGGGGAGGGCCTAACATGCTTCTCACTCCTGGGACCTGAGAGGCATTTGTGCAATTCACCAGCATTTTAAGGTTTTTGAGCATGCTGATTATTAAGCACAAATTATTTTTTAGCCTATAATGACTGTAGTAGTTACATAATCTGGTGTTAATTTGCGCATTAAGAGTGTAGGGGTGGCGGCTAGCCTGTCAATCAGGATATAGCCAATGAGATCTCTGTGTGAGCATAGCCTTCTCCTGAGGATTCTGGGAACTCCAGTATTTCCTCCTTGAAGGCCAGAGTGTCTCTCTCTCTCTCTCTGCTCACTCCTTATGAGATATCCCTGTGGAGAAGACACATGGAGAGGGGCTGATGGAGCCAGACTTGTGGAGCTGGAGAAGCCACGTAGAGACCCCTGCCAGCGCTGAGATGCTTACAATGCCACTGGGTCCAAAAGACTTTCCATCACTGGCCTGTGATCTTCCTGCATTTGGCATTATTGCATGTGCTTTGTGAGTCTGAAGAGGGCTTTGTAGATTGGTATTGGAATTATGGACTTGATCTGGACCCGGCTGGGATGTTTTCTCAATATTCAAGTGCTCTTGTATATAAACCTCCTTCTTATATACCCGTGAGTATCAATGGATTTGTTTCTCTAGTCTACCCAGACTAACACAACGACTAGCCAAGCACAAGCTGACAGTTACCAAACCAGCAGCAACAGTAAATGTATTCATCGATTTCTGTACAACCCGTTCCATTTACTTTCAAGTTACAACATCTGAGAGGAAATAGTTATTGTGCATGTTTCAGTTGGATCCGCACAAAGAAGTCTCTTGGGCTAAGAAAAGAAACTGAAATAAAATAAACAAATCAAACTTAAAAATAATGCAAGACTTCTCTTACCGTTTTCCAACCAGCAAGGAAATTTTCAAGAGATCTAAGCAATCCCATGGCATTAGCTTTCATCTGCGTAGTAACCTATAGGGTGCATGGAAATATTTTACTCTGTGAACAATTACATAGAAATATAACAATCCTAGCACTGTATGGCCTCTGCTAGGGAAGAGCTCTAGTGTGTCAGTCAGGAAACCAGAATTCTCTCTCTGGGGCTATAATGAAATCGCTCCAAACCCACTGCCATCGAGGCGATTCTGACTGATGGTGACCCTGTAAAGAGCGGGTAGACGCTGCCCCTTTGCACTTCCATGACTTTAAATCTTTACAGCAGTAGACAGTCTCATCTTACTCGTGTGGAGCCAGTGGTGGGTTTGAACCTTGTGGTTAGCAGCTCAACTAGCTGGATTAGAAGCCCAGCTAGTCAGTGCCCAAGTCATCTAAGTGGTACTCCGCTCAGGACAGACTACATGTTGAACTTAAATTTGGATGCTCTTCAATGTTTGTTATTGCAATCCATATTTACATACGTATAAACCAAACCCACTGCTATGCAGTCAATCCCAACTGGCAGCCATCCTACTTAGGGCTCCCAAGCCTGGGGATCTTTATGGGTCCACACCGCTCATCTTCCTCCGGCAGAGCTGCTGGTGGGTGGGAACTGCTGACCTGCAGCAAGCAGCCCACTGCCTCTAAACGTGTACAGAGTACACACGAAGGGAATAACATGTCCTAAACTTCACCTGGAAGGAGGTAGAGTAACTATTAAACAAACAGTATAGTCCAGGAGTGTCACATGTATTTTATTATCTGGTTCTGAAAACCTGCATATGCTGCTGTTTGGTCCCACGTCCTGTCTCCTAAGACTCAGAGCCAGGGAGGCCGGGCTACATTCCCTTACTGCTCAGTGCTGCCATCTAGCGCACGCTCTGGCTTCCGTTCTCCCAGGAGATTCTGTCTGAAGTCTTTAGCCCCCCCTTACGCACAGATGGTCCCTAAATGTCCTCGGTGTGGTAAAAACAAAGACCCACAGTCTCCTTTGCTTTTCTGACTCCTGTTTTAAAACTGTAACCTCTGTTTTTGATGTTTGAACCTATTTTCTATTCTTTGGATATTTCTGGTTTTCCTCTGTTGATTCTTAGAATTGTTAACTTACACAAACATTGTAAGCTAGCAACCCACCATGAACGATGACGCGTAGCTGTGACACAGAAATAAATGAGAGCAGAAGGTGGGGGCCTGCACGGAGCTGCAGCTGAGGCACAGTGCACCCCAGCCAGAAGGCAGTTCCAAATCCAAGACGACTAGCATCTGCCTTTACAGCTTATGAAGCTCCCTCTCCGGGCCCACGAGTTTCCTCGGGACTTCTGCACTGCAGCCAGTGCCGGACAGAGTGTGCTCAGGGGCCAGGCCCCGTGGGAGATGCAGCGGTGGGCTGCGGGAGCTGTCCCCTGCCTCAAAGTTCAGTGATCAAGCCCAAATCCACCTCGGGTCCACTGGAAACCGAAGGGACTCAATGCTCTTGTCTTGGTGAAAGTATCAACTCCCGTCCAATGTTTCTATGTTAGAAAATACACAAACAAAACCCCCACACAGGCGGGAGAGGTAGGCACCCAAGAGAAGAGAGAAGCCGTGCCAGTCAGCCAAGGGCCTGAAGACTTCAGGGCCCCGGGACTAGCATTTTCAGACCGGCTGTTTCTTCAGCGGGAGCAGCTGCTGCTGCAGGAGCACTGCGCTTCCAAAGTGGGGCTGCAGAGGCGGAGCGAGATGCTCAAGGAAGGTGGGAAGGAAGGAAGCAATTGAACCCTGCGGGTCCTTCCGGGGTCACGGGGTGGAGCTCTCCTGGGAGGAGATAAACGCACAGGTAGGCCAGCAGTCAGGGGACAGGAGGGGAAAAACCCCTGGCTAAAGTGACTACTAAGTATGTTAATGCCAAGGTTTCCCTAAAAAGAAGACAAAAAAGATCTCGCATACTCGAGCTGCTGGTGCTAGCAGCCTCAGGAAGTGTAGGGTCCCCAAGGCATTCAGGTTAGAGCTCACCCCCCCCCCCGCCCCCGCCCACCCCAGGACCCCAGCTAAAGAACCGGGATGGGCTGAGACAGCCTCAACGACCATTTATTACAACAAAAGTCTCGCAGGAGAAGTCTCTGAAATTCTCAAACGCAATTACAAGATCGGATCTTTTATCTCTTCCCACTTGACGTACATTTATGCTCTAGAAGCAAAAACTGTTTAATGCAGCAACATTGATATACAAAATCCACTCTGTACCACAGAGACTGCTTGGGAGTCAGCCGGGAGAACAACACCCTAACCCACGGCCTCATAGTTGTGAGGCCCTCCAGGGCTCTGAAACTCACAGAAATAGTAATATACTCACATTGTCATAATAACCCATATCTTGCAAAGTTATACACCGCTATTTTATGTGCAGTGACCGACTCTGCAATGCAGACCAGAGAAATAATTCAACAAACAGACAGCTGACGAGGAAGGGGCTATGGTCCAGGTATTATAACATGTGGCAGGTGAAGAACAGGCCGGTAGGCAAGGGGCACCAGCCAGGTTTCAAACACAGGTTTTGCGTGACCCAGCCCACCGGTAAGCCAGCACGGGTTTCATGCTTTTATGTCACTTAGCCAGGGAGGCAGCGTGGGCGTCGCTCACAATGTCCTGGCCTCTAGATTTTGGTCTGAAATAACTGGTGTGACCCCCCCGGGCAACACGTTCAATTGAAGATTGGAAATTGGTTACAGCTAGTCCCCTAAGCAAAGACAAGGTAAGAAGAGGACAACAGTGACTAACACCAGCTGTCACCACCACAGCCCACTCGGCTCGGGGTTCATGCAGCCTGAACCCTCACTGCCCCGCATGCAGCAGAACCCCGCAGGGCAACCTCAGGAGCTCGCCAGCCTCATCCTCCAGGAAAAATAGCAATTCAACATCAAATAGACACATGCAGAAAGTTCCAACTCACAGAGTTAAAAATGCCTTTTGTTGTTGTTGTTAATGGGTTTTGTTTACGGCGGTGATTGTTGAAAACACACTCATCCAGGGACAGTGTTGTGCGGCGGCGGCCACCCTCCCCTCCTTCTCTGAGCGGTTCCTCCTCCATCAACGTAACCCCCCTGCCCCGGATTTCTCCTAACCACTCAAGTTGCTGTTGTCGACGTGATGCCAGACAAATACTTCTTGAAGAGACACGATGCTCCAGACAGGTTTTCTTTACCAATTCAGTTAGATTACTGCTTGGGAGTTAAACTGTTTTTAACACACTGCCCGAGATAAACTATTTGGTACAATATTGGACATTCTCTTATTTATCTTACCTCGTTCTCTGGACACTGCTTTAAGAGTTCGTGTTGAAGTTCTTTTGTTTTTTCCAGCCCAGAATCTAACAGGATCTTCACTCCTAAGCATACACCGTCACAAACAGCATCCATAAAACCCTCCTAGTGAAAGTTGTTAGGCATTAATAGGCAAATTCTAATTTCAAATCCTTTTAAAATGTTCAAATAATTAAGTTACGGTTTCTCCTATTTTAGGACCACATGGTAAGTTCATTAACTTCAGCTGCAGGGGTGAGACAAACAGTCTATAAGGAAGGAAACTGGCCAAACTGCATTCAAGTATTTCACATATGAAAATCCAGTCCACTGCCATTGAGCTGGTTCTGACCAACAGTGAGCCTATAGGGCAGAGTAGAATGCCCCACTGGGTTTCCAGGGTTGTCATCTTTACAGAAGCTGACTGCCCAGTTTTTCTCCCAGGTGGCTGGGGAGTTGGAACCACAGCTCCACACTTAGCCATTGGGGCACTGGGCTCCATCTCCCACAGAGCGCACGTTGTAAGGAATGCTTATGGCTGGAAGAGTTATACATAACCATTCTTGTAAAGCCATACGTCTGCAATAACAGGAGTACTTAAAGCCAGCGGATACTAACTTTCTAGAATCACAGAGTTCTTCGTGTGCTGCTTGGCTGAGAAAAGCATCTAGAGCTGATTACGACCATCCCTTTTTTAAAACGTCTTTGATTAAAGGGAGGGTTCCCGATCATCGGGTACAACTGACCAACTTAACTGGAAACGGCTTTAGATCTTATTGCCAAACAACTAAAAGTAGGTGCTATTTTTGAAAACGAAAAAGAACGGGTCAGGATTCGTGATTCCAGCTATTATCAGAAGTATCGTGATTCCAGCTGGTGTCTGCTGCTTGCTCAGATGAAGGCTTTGGGAGTTGCAGTGAAGTTACCTGGAGGCTGACTGCCTCATTGTGATTGTTGTCCAGGAAACGCAGCTGGCTCCCTTGCAGAACCACTAATTGTCCCACGCATCTGACAGCCTGCTGTACAATGTCAACCACTTTCTTCTGAGCTTCTTTTACCATTGACGAGATATCCAAACAACATCCCTAGATGGTACAAACGAATCAGTACATCAGATAAACGAGAATGCAAGGGGTGGTCCCCCAAAAAGACAGGAACAAAAGCTGAAAATAATAGAGTCTGCATCCGGTCAGAGTGACCTGACCTCATAAAAGCATCAGTCACAACTCGGAGACCTCGATGGAAGGCGGCAGAATGAATGAGTCTCTCCCTCACAGGTGCTAGCACACAGTAGGAAACAGAAAGCAAGTATGCCCCTGACTTTGGCTTTGAACTTTTCCTACCCTAAAACCGGCTTCAGTGATGGAGAATAAAGAGCGTCTCGTTTTATGTGTGGAGAAGGAAGAGGGAGCGGAAACAAAAACACAACGCTTCAACAAACGCACAGGAGTCCACCCAAGAAGCACGTGGACATCTCTTGAGCTTTTCGTCTTCGTTTCCCGACTAGCCACTGAGAGGCTCTTCAGAATACTTCTCTTGGCTGGCTTTCTGGAATATTCTCACTGTGTTGTAAAGACGGCCAAATCATACTTCGGCTGAAAGTATAATCACTAAACCCAGCTTAACTATGCACGTCTCCCCCAAGACTAAATTGACCTCCAGGTTGCCTGTTCTCTCCAGCCTTGATTCTTCATATAAAACATTATCACGTCATTGTAAAAAACCCCAAATCAACTACACAGCATTCTGACTGGATGGAAACTACACACAAGTTACTCTAATAGGTTTTGTTTTGAATCAACATGAACTCCTCTGATCCTCACAGCAACCCTGCCAGCAAGGTGTTGTTATTTTTCTTTTCCAGGTGAGAACTGATTTACCCTGGGTCCAAGCCCTTGGTTTTCCAAACCCCAAGCTAGTGGCTTTATTTAACGGGCTCTGTGCTGCCCGGGATCTCTGGGTGGGGCCGGGGTCTCTGGGTGGGGCAGAAGGCTAATGTGCTTAGCTGCTGATCAAAAGGTGGGAGGTGGGAGTCCACCTAAAAGGGTCTCAGAAGAGTGAGCTCCTTCGGCAAACCAGTCACGGGACCCTGCCACAGACCACTCTTCAACTCCTCCCTCCTCTGTGTGGCCGGGTCAGCCCCTCTCCAGGCCTGTTCTTTCATTTCAGGGCGCGATGCTATTGATCGAAGGAGCTCGAGCGGAACAGTGGGCTGCTCACCACAAGGTGACTGGCAGCTGCTCTCTGGGAGTAACTGAGGCTTTCTGCTCCCGTAAAATGTGCAGCCTTGGAACCCACAGGGGCGGCGCTATTCTGCCCTCTGGGGCCACTGTGAGTTGGAGCTGGCTGGAGGACGGCGACTTTGGCGCTCTGTTGTTGTTGTTGTTGTTGCTCCTATGCTATTATTCATGCCCCTCCCCGGGGCTTACCGCCCAGAGGACAGCCTTAGACACAACAGCTATATCAGAAGGTCTAATGAGTGAAGTAGAGGTTCATTATAGAGTAAACTAAGAGAGCTGCCTAACCAAGTCTTAGGGAGACCCAGAGAGACCTGACAGAGAGGAGGGTCATTAAAAATCAACATTCGATTCCAGCTTGAGTCGTTCGATTCAACAGGCAAATAAAGATTTCCAAATCTCAGTAAACAGCCCACTCATTTCAGGAAGTATTTGGTACAACAAAACTCGGCGACAATAAAAGAACGCTCCAGGACTTCTTACAGAGGCCCCGGCGGAGAGGATTGGCTATCATTTTCCAGCGTCAGGTCCCCCTTCCTGTCACACGCCCTTGATTTCTCATGTTGATACACAGCTGCCTGGAATAAAAACCAAATTTCCCCCCAAATCCTCGCAGCTAGATAAGACTGTGGTGCAGTGTTGACCAATGATACGCAAGTAGAAGGGCCACAGGGTCATTTCCAAGATCTTCTCGGAAAGGAGGGCCCCAGCCCTTTTCCTCCTTCCCAAGTCAGCCAAGGGAGCTCTGCCGTGCACGCCGCTGGGCATGGAGGGTCAATAAAAGAATGCAGGTGGGGACACCAGCAGGAGGCTGGCAGAGGGGGACCCCAAAAGGAGCCTGAACCGTGCCTGCTTGCAGCCTTCACGTGAGAGCAAAGCAAGCTTGTCGTGCTTCTTACTCACAGAAAAACCTAATCTGATACAGGTGACTCTCACTGGGGCGCTGGGAAGAGCCGCAGCCCCTTGCTGTGCTCATGGGTGGGGTTTTAGCTCGTGTACTAGAGTCACAAACCTGAGGAGGCAGAGCAAGTCATTTTATTTTCTCTTCCCAGTGCCCTGACTGAGGGTCACCATGGGATCATGGTGAGACCCCTGGCCCGAGCCTGCTTGTGGGAGCTCAAATACCAACTCTACGACTTAGGAGTTGTGTCACCGTGGGTACTCACTTTTCCTCTCCTCTTGCCCTCATTTTCCCGTCTATAAAATGGCGAGAATTAGAACACCCACTTGTAAGGTTGTCATGAGGATTACATGAGGTGCAACTTGTCAGTCACTAAGAACCTCCAGTGTCTAGTACACAGAACGCCGTGGAAGTCTCGGTCTCGTATGTCAGTTATAGTCTCAGGACGTCAAAACAGAAAGGACTTCTGAAAACCCTCCCTCTATAACATGGATGCTGCTGCGAGGAGCCTTTGGACAGGAAGCAATCAATAAATACTTTACTGAACAAATGCCTATTTCAAAGGACCATAAGCAAACCAACATACCTGCAGAAATAACTGTAAATAGCCTCCGAGTTTCTTAACTTCCTGCCTTAGCTCGCCCCCCAGCCTCGCGGTGCGTGTGCACGGAGGGGCCACACTCAGCCAGTGTCTGGACAGCACCACCAGCTGCTCGAAGGCGCACGCCACCTGGACAGTCCGTGACTGGGTGGCGCGATCAGAAGAGAACACTGTGAAGGGGGCAGGGGAATCGTTGGAAGCACAATCGCCAAATAAAAAGGGCTCACACAGGAACAGCATTAAAACAACACTGTAACCCAGTTCAAGCCTCCCGAGCGCTATGGGAACAACTCAAACCCAAGTGCCATGCGCACGCATGAGGCGTCATCGAGGCCCGAGGCAACTCACAGCTCTCGGGACTGTCCTCGTCCTGTCGGTCGTGCGCCTGGGCAATGGCAGCGATGCCACTGTAAATTTTCAGTAAGTTAGCGGTTAGGGTGTCTGCCGTGGTTTCTTCTTCATCGTAACTCTGCCCAAGAAAATCTAATGAAGAGCCAATCAATTCTCTGCAAATTCCAGGAAGAAATGACTCCGCTGAATTAGAGTAAATGGTGCTTGGTTTCTCCATCAATCCTGTGCCAACAGAAAACAGGTGTCGTCAGCCTAGGGTTCATGCCCAGAAGTCTCTCTCAAACAAGGCATGAAGGCAAGCACACGATGAAATCATCCATCAATACACTCAGAGCTGGTCATTCTGATTTCAGAACAGCCATCCTTAGGGCTTGACGCCACTGTGAAAACACAGGCCCATGCAGGGACCGGTCACGGTCACTTCTCAACAGGGCCCCGCAGGCTGCGCCATCCCTCCGCAGCGATACGGGGAGAGAGAAGTCAAAACCTCATAGAACCAGTGGGTTAATCTCCGCGAGTTACCGTTTGGGTGAAAATTAATCATCCTTAACCCCTAACAGACTGTGGATTGGTGAAAACTGATAATTGAGTAAAATAAAATGGGGAAAGTAAGCCATGGAGTCAATGGTAGTGAAAGAAATAATCAATACCCCTAGGTGTACTATAGCTCCCTCTCTAGGTATGCAATAGTCACAACAAAAGCCAACTGAACATCGACAGAGAGTGTAGCACGTCTCTTGGAGACGAGTTTTCAGAATAGCTAGCTTCCTAAGCACTTTCCAAGCCCAGGAAGAACCTCCAGAATAACTTTATCCCGGAATGCCAACACACGAGTGCAGCGCTTGTGATGTAGCACACATCGTAGTTCTCTGGCCCAGTCTATGGCAGGTTAGAAGCAGCAGCAAACACAACGCAGGTGGAATAAAGGCAAAAGGTGGGAATATTACTAAGTTAGAACAAAGACAATTGAGGAAGAGAAAAGCCTTATTGTTATAAGGTAATAATGAACCATCATTACCATGCTGATGATAATTAACTATATGTCTTGGTTTAACAAGATAATGACATATAAATGCATTCTAAAATCCAATATTAACATTTTAGGAAAACATGCATAAATCTAGCTGTAAAATAAGACCCTTTATATTAGAAGTTTCAACATTTGCTCCATTTCCAACGCTGGAGAATGCTAGATGCAGGCCGCGTGCAGAACCTCAGAGATGGCTGCCTCAGACGGAGAGAAGACAACAGACGCACAGCCACTGCGTCGAAGTCAACTGGGGCCCTATAGGGCAGCGCAGAGCTGCCCTGTGGGCTTCCAGACGGCAGTTCGTTACGAGACGACGCAACTCTCTATGGGCACCGGAAGCCGTATCTTTCTCCCACAACAGGGGTCTGGGGTGCCTTATATTGAATGAGAGTGTGCTTCCGTTTCCATTTCAAAGACTGTGAAAGTATCAGAGGTGCAAACAAGTGACTGATACAGTAACCTAGTTTCTAAAAACAGCCTTGAAAGGGCAGCTTCACCTTGGAAAAGTTACCTTTGTAAAATGTCTTACTATCAAATAATGCTGAAGAAATAAGTTGTTATCACAGCTATGTCTCCTTTTATTTAATTGGCAACTGAAAAAATAAACAAATCAAAACACTCTGTGTCTTATTTTGGCCACAGGAGAGCGAAGGGGCTGTCCGCTCCATCAGAGTCACAGGCTCCAAAGCGCTAAAGAGGGTCTGCTTTCTGTGAACCGACTCTGGGGCAGTGGGTTTGGTTTCGTTGATATTTTGACCTAAGATTAGTTAGGTGGTACAGATAATCATGATTTTCCTAAATGATCATTTTATGATTCAACAAAAAGAAAGCTTCATTTCTTTAAAGTTAAGTGGAGATATACGTAATTCCTTTTATTGCTACTCAGGCTCCATTAGCATATTTTTCATATAGGTTATTATGTTACATAGGAATTTTAAAGTTTTAGGTTTGTTGCTGTATAATTTATAAGCATTAACATATGGTAAATGAATTTTAATCGTACAGCTTGCTGTTTTCTATATATGTGTATACTCCAGTGTAGCCCCCATGGGATGAGAGACAAAACATTTCCATGATCCCATCCCAACAGTGACCCTTCCCAGTCCAGAGCCGCTAATGGAGGTAAGCCCTATCCAACCCTGAATGGCTAATCCTGCCTCCTGTCACCAGACAGTCGTCACTTGCCTGTCCTTGAACTTCACGTAAACAGGGTCATACCATATATACTCTTTTTGTGCCTGGCTTCTTTCATGCAACATAATGTTTGGGGCGTTCCTTCAGACGAGTGGAGGAAACACTAGTTGATTCTTTTGTGATTGCTGCAGTAGCCCCACACAGCAACCGGAACTATGACAAGTAGTTACACATACAGACTTACAGTGTATCCCCCATGCTGAAGGTAAAGTAGCATTATAATCAGTATTGCTGCAAAATAACCATTCAGAGGAACTTTTCCTTTTAAACATCCTTTCCCAATTAATTTCAGAATAGATCGCACATGCATATTACATAGAGAACGCCATGGGAAGGAGACTGTCCCCATCGGTTCCATTCTCTTGCACTCCGTGTTAGCCACGTGCACGCTATGGTGTCCTTTCGAGCAAGGTCTTTCTTATGCATTTTCAAGCATGTATGTAGACATATTTCCCTTCTTCTCCACACAATAATATATCTTCTGTACTTTGTTTTTTCACTTATTAAAAATAGTATTGCTATATATTTCTGAACATCTGCAAAGCCTTCCACATTTGACTTAGCCGTGCTACTAAGAAGCTTTGAAATAAATCACATAGCATGGAACTTTAGGGATAGAGGGGCCATCCCGTCTGTGTGTCAGTCCCCAACGCACCCCAGTTTACAGAGGTAACGGAAACTTCTGGAGATGAAATAATTTACAGAGGAAGGGCCAGGACTAGAATCTGATGCTTTCCTCGCTGTGCACAGAAATTTGATGTAGAAATACCTGATGAACGAGAAGAATGCAGGCTCTGAGTCGGGTGGACTTGTATGTCATGTAAGCAACCAGAAATTCTTCTGTTTTTCATCAAACTCCTACTCCTGAAAAGAAGTAAACCATAGACTGGGAGTTGCATATCATATAAAATAATATTGTTAAGAATGTTCATACAGCCTCTAAAGAAAGGGTGTGCCTGGGTGTGTTTTCCAAGCAAACATTTTCACCAAGGGCTACTTAGGTTCATTTGGTTCACTAAGAATTGCCCTGTTTATGT